TCATGAAAATTTTGACTTTTATATATTTCAAATATATTTTATAAAATAATATATTTTATAAAATATTATAATTTAAATTATTTTTTAATTTTTATTATGATATGATTTATTAATAAAATAATATTTTTATTGGAAAATATATTTTTAAAAAATTAAAATTAAGTTGAAAATTCAAAAATAATTTTGTTAAAATTACATATCATTTTAAAAAATCAAGTAGAAGTTTTTATATTGGTTTCAAAAATTAAATAAAAACTTTATATAATGTTAAAATATTATGTAAAAATTTTTAGATCATTTTCAAAATTAAAATAAATTTATTAATCTATTCAAAAATATAAAAACGTTATATTCATATAAAATAAAAATATAATTTAAAACATTTTTATTTTTTTGATAAAATATATTTTATAAAATATATTTAAAAGGAAAAAAAGATATTTAATATTTTAAAAAAATAATTTTTTGGATAGAAAATAATATGTTTTGTTATGACATATGAGTAAAATAATATTTTTAATAATTTTTTTGTTTTTCAAATTTATTAAAATTCTTTAAAAATTTGAATTTGAAAATTTTAACTTAATTTTAAGTTTTGAATATTTATTTTCTATTTAAAACAAAAATCTATCTAATAAGCTGTATTATTAAAAATATGCAAATATAATTTAAAATTAGTATTTTTTTTATAAGTTGTGTATGAAATATATAAAATTTTAAGATGGTTTCATCTTTGGTCCTTAAACTTTGAGAAAAGTTTACTTTGGTCCTTCATCTGCCATGTCAGCTAATTGACATCCTCACGTGATACAAGCTGATATTTACTATCAATTTAGACGGTTCTATACACGAAAAAACCAAAATAAAACAAATTTGGGCAATTAGGGATTCAATTAAAACTTTTTAAAATTTAATGATCAAAATAGAATTTGGATAAAATTTAGAGACTACAGATGCTATTAACCCTTAATAAATTAATTATTTTGATTTATTTATTAATTTTTATATAAAATATAAATTTAGATTATAATTTTAATTTCATAAAAAAATATATTATTACTCTATCACATTGAGCAATGAACATTCCCATTTAACTAAGAAATTAAGACTAAGGGCTACTACATAAAAAGCCACTCTTGGGATGATGTGAGTGATCAAGACCTCCTTAAATTGCTTATTGTTGACCCACTTGAGCTTGTTTCAATCTTTTTGGTGAAATTTCATTTATTTATATTTTTTTACAAAGAAATTGTAAAAGAAATAGAAGATAGAATTATAAATATTAAAATTTAAATCTTATAAGAAATACTGCATGAATCAAATTAAACTTTAGATTCAATTTTACATGAACTTTGACTCTAATAAGTAATTACATTATAAATTATTGCTACGACTTCTACACTATTGCTAGAAAGTGAAAAACAATGGCATCCTTCCATGGTCCTACACACTTTAATCTCCAAGTTTTGACAAGTCATAATACCAAGCAGATTCTGCGGTGCTTTTGCTTTCCTCTCTCACTAAATTACGTGAAAAGAAATAACTTGTACGATTTCCGACAAGTCTATAAATCCCAACCTCGAGGAAAACATGTTTGGATTCCAATATCATTTTTTTTCTAAATACTAAAAGTTTTGAAAAATAGCTAGGCAATGGATTTTAATGAACCAAATCATGGAATCCTCTTGCCTTTTTATATCTTCAGTCATCCATTGGTCTCATTTCAATCATTTTGCCTTCGTTATCACTTTAATCTTTATTCGATCAATAAACTTCAATATTACAAAATATAATACCTTTGCATTTATTGGTTAGTATGCAATCATTTTCTCTTTAAAATACTTTATTCTAATCTTTATTCCATAAATAAGAATATAATTCTTCTTAGATCATGTGAATCATGTTGAATATAATTATTTTTTTGTTTTTATTTTAAGCTGTAATTAATTAAAAATTTGCATACATACCTCGAGTTGGTATGTATATTACTGAACATATTTGATAAAAATAAAACTAATTGATATACTAAACTATATTATTGCATGATATTATTTGTATGATAATTTTTATTTTTATTTTCTTTCAAATTTAAAAAAGTTTTTCACAAAATTTTTTTAATCCTACCAAATTATTGGAAGATTTAAATCTCGAATTAAGTCTCAACAAATTATTGGAGGATTAATGAATTTTTTTATAAATATTTTTTACCTAAAATCCTACCAACAGATTGAAAGATAATTTTCAACCAAAAATCTTATTAACAAATTGAAGGACACTTTTGACTATAAAGCCCGATTTATAGATATTTATTTCTAAAAACAAATTTAAAAGAATCCGACAATAGAGCTTCTTCAAAGTAAGATACTAGTCTCTATGAATACTCTTAAAATGAGATAATTATCTTAAATTGCTACCAAATTATTGAAATAATTTTAAGATCAATTTTTAATATTAAATATTTTGATAAATCACAAATATGAAAAGCTTGGATAATTTAAAATCAAATCAGTACCATCCTTTATATATGCATTGTAATGGTACTATAACATTTATCACACGTAATCATACTTTCGAACCTAAAATATAATTTTGTGAACTAGAATTTACCATTTAAAGATATCTGAGTCAATCTTGGAACATCTCTTTACATGAAACAAATTTTGTCAGGTGTTAATTACACCTAAACAAAAAAAATTTGTAGTGATTCCTTTAATTTATATCTAGGGATAGGTTTATAAATTTATACATTATGACATTTTTTATACAAAATAAATAAAGAAAAAGATAAAAATAATTCAAAATTTTTTATTTTTATATATTTCAAATATATTTTATAAAATATTATAATTTAAAATATTTTTTAATTTTTATTATGATATGATTTATCAATAAAATAATATTTTAATAGAAAATATATTTTAAAAGATTAAAATTAAGTTGAAAATTTGAAAATAATTTTGTTAAAATTACATATCATTTTAAAAATTTAATTAAGTTTTTATATCGGTTTAAAAATTAAATAAAAACTCTATATAATGTTAAATATTATGTAAAAATTTTTAGATCATTTTTCAAAATTAAAATAAATTTATTAATCTATTCTAAAATATAAAAACTTTATATTCATATAAAATAAAAAAATATAATTTAAAACATTTTTTATTTTTTATAAAATGTATTTTACAAAATATATTTAAAAAAGAAAAATAAAAAAATTAATATTTTAAAAATAAAATTTTTGGATTGAAAATAATATGTTTTATTATGACTTATGAGTAAAATAATATTTTAATAAAAATTATTTTGTTTTTAAAATGTACTAAAAATTTTTAAAAAAGGAATTTGAAAATTTTAACTTAATTTTAAGTTTTGAATATTTATTTTCTTTTTAAAACAAAAATATTTCTAATAAGTTATATTATAAAAAATATGCAAATATAATTTAAAATTAATATTTTTTATAAGTCATGTATAAAATATATAAAATTTTAAGATAATTTCATCTTTGGTCTCTAAACTTTGAGAAAATTTTATTTTGGTCCTTTATCTGCCTCAGTGAGCTAACTAATGTCATCACGTGAACTAAGAAATTAAGACTAAGGGCTATTACATACAAAGCCACTCTTGGGATGATGTTAGTGATCAAGACCTCCTTAAATTGCTTATTGTTGATCCACTTGAGCTTATTTCAATCTTTTTGGTGCAATTTCATTTTATTTTTATTTTCTTACAAAAAAATTGTAAAAGAGATAGAAGATAGAATTATAAATACTAAAATTTAAATCTTAAACTTATTAAATATCATCTTATAAGAAAAACTGCATAAATCAAATTAAACTTTAGATTCAATTTTACATGAACTTTGAATCTAATAAGCAATTACATTAAAAATGATTGCTACGACTTCCACACTATAGCTAGAAAGTGAAAAACAATGGCATCCTTCCATGGTCCTGCACACTTTAATCTCCAGGTTTTGACAAGTCGTAATTCCAAGCAGATTCTGCTGTGCGGCCAATATCATTTTTTTTTTGGGTAAATACTAAAAGTGTTCCAAAAAAATTAACCAAATAGCTAGGCAATGGATTTTAATGAACCAAATCATGGAATCCTCTTGCCTTTTTGTATCTTCAATCATCCACTGGTCTCATTCCAATCATCTTGTCTTCGTTATCACTTTAATCTTTATTCGATCAATAAACTTCACTATTACAAAATATAATATCTTTGCATTTATTGTTTAGTACGCAATCATTTTCTCTTTAAAATATTTTATTCTAATCTTTATTCCATAAATATGAATATAATTCTTCTTAGATTGTGTGAATCATGTTGAATATAGTTATATTTTTTGTTTTTATTTTAAGATGTAATTAATTAAAAAATTGCATACATACCTCGAGTTGGTATGTATATTGCTGAACATATTCGATAAAAATAAAACTAATTGATACACTAAACTTGACAAGTTTTTTCATGAAGTAGGCTATAATATGATAATAGAAGTTCGAGTAAATTACCTTTTAAATATAATATATAAATCAGTTGAATTGTTCTGTGAATGAAAAAGTATTATTATCTTTCCAGCGAAAACGAAAAAACCTATAGTGATTCATTCTAAACAAATTACAAGCACAACCAATAGAGAATCAGAGTGAGTAGAAGAAAACGCGAGAATTTTTTTTTTTTGTTAAGCAGTATAAAATTTTTGGATTTTTCCAGAGTGTAAGTTTTTTTTTTTTTTATCGATCCGTATTATTTCATGAATTTGGTCTTGACTATCACTGTTTCAAAAAGATAAAGCATATAAATTTATATGCTAAACTTGTTATTTTAATAAAGTATAAAGAAGATTGGATCAATCTAAAGTTAAAGCTAGCTACTATCTTCGGGGTAGTGTAAGGCATAAATTCTGCAGTTCGGGTACCCCAATATTATAGCCATGTAGAAATAGAGAAACCTAACTCACCATTTCTTCTATCCTTTCGTCCTTTGTTTCTTCAGAAAACTCCAGCCAGTTTCCTTTAACTGTCGTTGTATTACCTCCTTTGAACCGTTAAGCTAGCTGGTAGAATTTGATGGCGAGCGACGAGGGGAACCCGGAGGAAGTGAGAATTCCTATGCCTGAGATAGAGCAATCGGATTTCATGAGAGAACAGAGGATGGAATTAGACTCAGCATTCCTCGAATTACAAAACCGGAGAAGAGGTGTATCTCAAATAACCAAACCGTTAATACAAAGAGTTACACCTCGCCTGGTTGGCGTTATCAAAGAGGACTTTAAAAAATATTTTGAACCGAGGATGGTAGCCTTCGGTCCTTTGCATCATGGCAACCCGAAGTTCGACTGGGGAGAGCGAATGAAACGTTTATTTGTAGCTCTCTTCATAGGGGAGAACCAAACGACTGAGGATGCTCTATTCCACAAGATTAAGGAAGAGATAGAGGATCTTAGGAAGTATTATAATCCGGACGACATAAATTACTACGATGATGATGAGCTATCTTGGATGTTCTTCGTGGACGGTTGTACAGTGCTGTATACCGTATATTACGCTTTATACGGTGAATGGGAGAAGTCATTCACTTCAGATATGCTGGATCTCATGACATTTGCGATACTTGATTTATTCTTGCTAGAAAACCAACTTCCTTACAGAGTCCTCGAGATATTGATTGGCTCAACCATAGATCCCATGATGTGGGAACAATCAATCGCAGAATTCATAACCGACAACCTTATGACAAATATACCAGGTGCGAGGAAGAGCCTACAGCTGGACGAAAAAGATTACGCTCACCTTCTGGACGGGTTGAGGACAGAATTACTGACAGGAATAGTACAACAGAACAGTTGGGGCGTGATTGGCAGGTTTCTTCTTTGGAGTGGAAACAAGGCAAAACATAGAAGGCTATTTCGAAGCATCATGGATCTTAAAGAATCAGGAATTCAAGTGAGCCCCAACATGACATGCAACCTTCAAAACATTTCCTTCCATTGCAACATTCTGGGAAGCCTAAAGATGCCACTCCTCGTGTTGGATGAGTCAACAGCCTCCAAGTTCATGAACTTAGTGGCTTTAGAAAAGTGTCCAGATTTTGATAATGATTATGCTGTCACCTCT